GCTCTGATACAAGTCAGTGGGGGTTGTTCCGTGGATTTCAACTGATTTCTGATTAGCACTCACCTTACTTTGTTCCAATGATGAGTATTTTAAAAACTTTTCCCTGGAAATGTTTGTTTTAATGTGATATTTTCTTTCCTATCCTCACCACCATCTTTAGCTATAGAATGTGAAATGCCAACATTGTCTCATCTCATCATTTCCCCCAAGAAAAGTAAATATGTTGATAGGGACGTGGTGGAATTTTCCTGTGAAAGAAATCTCAAAAGAGTGGGATCTGACTCCTCTCAGTGTTACTACTTTGGATGGTTCCCGACATTTCCAAATTGTACAGGTAAATATTTCCCCTAGGCTTACTGAAGTAGAATACCTATTAATAAATTGGCTTTTTTCTTCTATGGGGAAGATCACAGTGACTATCCTAGGCTGTGTCTAGACTACACCTCTCTGTTGACAGAGAGATGTAGATTAGGCACATCAAAATTGCTAATGAAGCAGGGATTTAAATATAGCATAAACATGGCTGTCGCTTTTTTTGTCAGGGAGATTTTTCGAAAGAAACCCGGCAGTCTAGACAGGGATCTGTCGAAAAATAAACCCTTTTTTGACAGATCTGGTAAACGTCATTTTTTGAGGAATACAGGACCTGTCAAAAAAGGGTTTATTTTTCGACAGATCCCTGTCTAGACTGCCGGGTTTCTTTCGAAAAATCTCCCTGACAAAAAAAGCGACAGCCATGTTTATGCTATATTTAAATCCCTGCTTCATTAGCAATTTCAACGTGCCTAATCTACATCTCTCTGTCGACAGAGAGGTGTAGTCTAGATGTACCCCTAATGTCTAGCCCAAACTGAACCATCTCATCTAACTCCCTGTGAATACACTCACCGATCTAGTGGTGCACAAACTTCTCCAGTTATACCCCTTTTAACTCCATCACTTGTAGTGTGATTAGACTGTGCATAGACTAGACTTGAAGATCACATCAGAAAGTGGAAGAAAACACAGGTGAGAACAGTGAATCAATCAATCAGTCAATGTAGTTTACACAGTCTGACTCACTGAAGAGTTCCCAGGCTGTCAGGTATTGTTATATACATTGTCTGTTTATATATTTTACTATTAATTATTAATCATTAAATGAACTTTAATATTAACAAGAATCAGATGTAGACAGACATCTATCAGGGATGGTTCTGGGTCCTGCCGTAAGGGCAGTGGACTGGACTTGATGACTTCTCGAGGTCCCTTCCAGTTCTAGTGTTCTATGATTCTATGATTCTATTAATTTTAAAAGTATAATAGATCTACTGCCATTATGATATTTACCAGATTATTGAGAATAAGCCTCTTTGTGCCTTTACTTGTATGTTTGTTTATTAAAAGGACCAAAGAGTAATGCTTCTTTGCACCCGAGTACCTCTTACACACACGAGCTTCACCCTCTCTGATTTGAGCACCAATGTCCCAAGCCACCAGCTTCGTTTCCCATTTGAAAGTTTGAATTTGTTTCCATCCATTTTGATTTTAGTGAAACTGCAAGTTGTGTGAAGTGATACAAGGAGAAGCTCAGGGCTCATTTCCACATAGTACCTAAAATAGGATTTCAACCCAAACCTCCAGAGATGTAAGGTTAATTAATTAATTAGTAACCTTTCTCCACTTACAGCAGTGATTTTGGATTTACTCATTTTTATTGTAGTCTATTTTCAATTTTAACAAGTGTTATACCAATTGTTTATACATAATCACTTTGTATTAGAGGAAGTCAAAGCTTGTGGGCAACCAGTCACCATTGCCAAAGGAAATATTATCAGTGAACTTCATGAGGAACATATTGTTGGTGACTCAGTGGAATAAGTCTGTAATGATGATTTTTAAATGATTCAATCAAGGAAAATAGAATGTATTCATAGAATCTTAACACTAGAACTGGAAGGGACCTCGAGAGGTCATCGAGTCCAGTCCCCTATCCTCATGGTAGGACCCAGTACCATTTAGATCATCCCTGATATACTTCTATCTAACCTGGTCTTAAATATCTCCAGGGATGGAGATTCCACAATCTTTCTAGGCAACTTATTCCAGTGTTTAACTGCCTGACAGGAAGTTTTTCCTAATGTCCAACCTAAACCTCCCTTGCTGCAGTTTAAGCCCATTGCTTCTTGTCCTATCCTCAGAGTCTAAGAACAATTTTTCCCTCCTCCTTGTGACAAACCCTTTTAGATACCTGAAAACAGCTACCATATCCCCTCTCAGTCTTTTCCTTTCCAAACTAATTGATTGATAGAGAATGGTCACACTCACCTACTTGCATTGGTAAACCACTATTTTTTTCATACTCTTAGGATTAATTAGACCAATAATTTTCCATTAACACTTTTAGAGATTTTCTAAATCAAAACCATACCTACTCAGGTGTAACATATTGGCCAGTGTACGTAGTTTCTGTACCACACATCTCTCTGTGATGCAATCAGACCTCGGGTTCTAAAATGCTGTCCTAGTGTAATTTGCAATGTCCTGAATCCTGAGTGGTAAAAATCATCCAATATTCAATTTATGAGTTTCACATTCTTAATTTCCCTAACCATGGAGAGCAGAAGTTATTATGCATTTTAAATAACATACTTATAAAAATAAATTTAAAAATATATTATTTTTATTTAGTATATTCAGTGCTTTTATTTAAAAAAAAAGGTGCCGATGCTCTTTAAGACCCAGCCAGCTATCAGCTATTTCATTACAGAGGTGCCGGTACTCTGTTCTTTCCAGGTAAGTTCTGACTGGAGGTGCTGGTACTATATAATGGGTAGTACCATCACAAAAAAAAAGCACTGAGTATATTCAAATGAAAACCTGCAGTTACGGAAAAGACTTACAGATGTTATTACAGATGTTTTCATGTAAGAAAAGGATTTCATGACCAAAAAATCCAGTAGACAAAAGAAATCCATAATATTGACAGTTCTCTTAGAGGGCCTATAATTGTCTTGGCAACTTTAGAGATTTGGGTTTCAGCCTGCTGAAATTATCCATGATTTCCATATTGATCTATCCAAACTTTAAGAAAAGAAGTGTGGTTGCTGGCCTCATTTTAGCACTTTGAACGCTGAATTCAACCCCAGATACTTTTTTCTTTGCACCTTTTTCTAAGCACCTTTGAGCATAATTTTTTATGAATAACCTCGGATTACAAGTCAGTATTATCACAACATGCTACTGAGTATTGTTTATTATCATTTGCGGTGCACCATAAGTGCACATAGCAAGGTTCCCACCTCAATGAGTTTATGCAAAAGACGTCTTTAGCAAATGAAATTCAAGGATGTGTAGGCAAGCACATTTAATGCAGAAAGGGAATGTTATTTGCTGCACAAGTTGTGGGTAGTTGTGTGATATCTACTACTTGGATGTTTTCACTGAAGGTGATAGTATTTTTTTAATTGAAAATGAGGATTAAAAGGTTTGTCTGTGGGCATACATGTGTATTTGAATGTCATAGAGCAGTGAATTACTAGCAGTTTGGAAGCTGGTATTGCGTTGACTGTATGTATTGATTTGATTTAAGATTTCCTTACATTTTAGTGTTTTCATTTGTGTGAGGAAATACAACTAGAGTTTTTTAGTTACGTTTTTTGAGTATGAAAATAAAAACAAGTGACACGCTTTATAATGCTTCAGTGTGAGGTGATAAAAGCTGAATACAGCCTTGGAAGATGGAGATAACTGAGGAGGTATCACAGGGACTTGGAGATAACTGAGGCGGTATCACAGGGACTTGGAAGAAAAATAAATGTTTTTACAAAGAAAGAACCCGGTACTGCACCTATTACGCCAACCAGACAATTGCTGCTAACTTTAATGAAAGCAACATCAGTCTCTTTGATTATTTTTGTGCCAATAATATAATATGAAATATTTATGCTCTTTTCCACAGAAGAACCTAAAAAACCCTGTGAACAACCACCTCCTATTGACAATGGCAGACCTGTTAAAGCAGACAGGACCCAATATTCCCATGGAGCAACAGTAGAATATGAATGTGAATCAATCTATAAAATGATTGGGTCAAAGACAGCGAAGTGTATTAGTGGAGAATGGACATCTCTTCCTTCCTGTGCTGATAAACAATTTGGTTAGTATTTTAAGCCTCAAACTAACAATTCCATTTGAGGTTGAATGAAGATTAGTCATCAGAATTTAGTCAAATAATTTTATAAAGATCTTTACAATCATTCTTTGCCTGCATTGGTATGATGCTGGTGATTTTTATTTTATGATTTTTAATTAGAAATTGCTATGGTCCTATTATACCTGTATTGGTTTGCATGATATGTTTTCCACACTAATGAAGACATAGAAGAATATTTTAATCCTAGGATTTCATGGAGGAATAGGCCAAATATATTGACTTTTTTTGTATTGGTAACTTATCAACAAAATTGGAATGTTTTATTGATTGGAAGTTATTTGCAGTTTGAATTATATCCCCATTTCCAAAATATATCTATGTACAATATATATCCATTATATAAAACATATCATAATAGAAGATTTTACCCAGCATTGCTCAGGTCCTTAACTGAATTAATTTTTGGTTTTTAGAATATAAAATGAAAATAAGCATGCTTCATTTAAACCAGGGCTCTGGGATGGGGATGGCAATGAGGGTTCATTATGCAGGTTGCCCTAGGGAGATAGGACTACCCCAGCCCCTTCCCGCCACAGCAGCTTGGAGGCCAGGTGAATAGTTCCTCTTCATAGCCAATGCAGCTCCAGTGGGCATAGCTGGGAGAGAGGTACATGTCCCCAAGCTGAAGCATATCCAGGTTTGTCTGCCCCTGTGATTCCCATCTCTTGGGGGCTGGGTGGCTCAGGTCTGCAACAATGCTAGATGGAATGGGGGGTGCTCCCAGCCAACCTCTTTCATCTGCCTGGTGATTCTGTCTCTATTCTATATGGCTTGATGAAAAGCAATCCCATTCCAGGATCATCCCATTATCCTGGCATAACCAAACCCTAACCTTGCTTTCAGTTATGATAACAGGAAACTGTATACAGAATGTGGTGGTCCTAGAAACAGGAGGAGTTCTTGAACAAATGGATGGACATATGAGCAGACAGACAAACTCTCTGAAATATATAGGGGTATGTCTACACTGCCACCCTAGTTCGAACTAGGGTGGCTAATGTAGGCATTCAGAGTTGCAAATGAAGCCCGGGATTTAAATATCCCAGGCTTCATTTGCATCTTGCCGGGCGCCGCCATTTTTAAATCCCCCTTAGTGTGGACTCCATGCCCGCAGCTACATGTGGCACAGAGTAGGTAGTTTGAATTAGGCTCTCTAAATTGTACTACCGTTACTCCACGTGGAACAAGGTATACCGGTAGTTCGAATTAGAGAGCCTAATTCAAACTACCTACTCTGTGCCACATGTAGCTGCGGGCATGGAGTCCACACTAAGGGGGATTTAAAAATGGCGGCGCCCGGCAAGATGCAAATGAAGCCTGGGATATTTAAATCCCGGGCTTCATTTGCAACTCTGAATGCCTACATTAGCCACCCTAGTTCGATCTAGGGTGGCAGTGTAGACATACCCTAGTAGATTTTAGAGAGGAGCATATATGTGAATGTGTACACAAAATATTTTTAAAGGAGGATAATGAATTGAGGTAATGCCCAGTTATTTTGTATTAAAAATTAATTCAGGTTAGAAACAACTCATTGAAACATATGCTGAAACCAAAGTTAAGTTATTGTGCTAGCACAGAAGGAGGTGTTTAATGTATTCAATGAAGCATAAGAAATAACAACACTTGAGCAGAAATTTAGATGTTTGTGAGCCTGATTCCTTGGCCCTGGATAATCAACTCTGGAGCGAGCAACCATGTTCTCACAGATATTTCAGAAGAAAATCTTTGCAATATATTGCGGTACTGCCCTTGCCACAATCCTTCCTCTGTGCCCTCCCAGCTACTCTAGCCATCCAGACAGGTCAGAATTAGGGTAACTCCCAAGATATATTACAGGCAGGGCTGGTTGTGCAATACTTTCTAATCTAATAACGTATTTTCAAACTTTAATTCTTCTTTGAGTAGTGTCCCTGCGGGTGCTCCACAGTAGTTCTCTTAGTGCTCCTATGCTTATACCTGAAACTTTTTAGCAGCAGTATCCCTCCAGGTGTTGGTACACATGCACAGCACCACTTCTGCCACAGCAAGCTTGCTGATGCACATGCACCGTCAACCATCCCTCAGTTCTTCTCAGCTTCTCTATGCTTGGTTTGAACCCAACAATGCTCCATGTTTCCTTGCTTAGGCAGTGTTAGTTAGATAATTGATAGTTATTAGTATTACAGTTTCCCCTGTTGTTGGTGTCTTTCCTTTTTCCTTTTTCTTAAAAAATTCCCTTGTTTTTCTCTACTCTTCTTTTAGTTAGTAGTAGAGCAGTTGTTCCAGGTTCTCCAAGATTTAAGAGATGCCTGACTTACAGGATGTTCATTCCAATGTCTGATGGACATGCCCAATGCATCCAGTACATGGCTCACGAGCACTCTCCAAAAAGCTGCCACCATTGCAAGAAGCTTTCTTCAGATCCCTTGAAGCCAGGGAGCTGCAGCTTAAGCTCCTCACCATGGGGAAGGCTGAAACACCTGCATCAGAACTGGTTTCTCAAGACTCCCCATCACATACATCTCCTACAGCAGCTTCAGATCTGAGTAGTCAGCATCAAGGGATCCTCCAGCTAAGAAAACTGCCAAGAGGAAGCACTCATCTCCCACAGCAGAAAGGCCACCTAAGAAAATATTCCCTCAACAGAAGCCTTTTTCAGCTCCAAAGTTACAGGCTTCTGGGGATGGGCAGGTACCAGGGTCAGTCCAGTGCAGACAAATCCCCAAAGGTGATGCTGGCCAAGGAGGCTTGCACTGCAGTCTCGGTACCGAAACCAGAGAAGACAGCACCTGCGCTGTAGGTACAGTGAACATCAGTACCGACATAGTCGGCACCCAAGCTAGTGCACCAGCCATGGCCACAGGCCAATCAGAACCATTGGCACAGACACCAGCTAATACCGCACCAGGGGCCCTGTGCCGATGTCTTCCTGATACTGACAACATCCAAGCCAAGATATGACCCAGTACTGCAACGACTGCACGTTTCCACACTGTTGGTGTCAGTCTTCCCTGCACCAAGACCTCTCACCAACCACCAGGAGCTAGGGGTTACTACAGTACTGGGAACCCCACCATTGGTACCAACGCTACATCTACTTTAGAGGGGCCCAGCAGACTGGCTGCACCCTCAAGCTCAGTTCCACCTTTTTCCAAGTGAGAGTGAAGATGAGGAGGAAATTTCCTTTTCTCCATGCCATTGTTCACTGAAGCCATTCTCCCAGCTACAGAAGCAGGGCCAATTCCAGATGTGGCAGTCATTTCTATGACTCCCTGTCATACCATTCCCACAGTCATGGCAAGTATGGGACCGCTGGGGGTCCCTAAGAGCACAAATGATAGTACCTCAAATGGCAACCCAAACCAAGCCACAGGCAGTAGTGCCTAACCCCCGCTGCATCCACCAGGTCAGGCACAGTACAAGAGGAGGTAGAGGATCTAGAGGCAACCCAAGAAAATGACAATTTACCTCCATCGCATATTTCCTTATCCTCCCCAATGAGTCTATAATGCCCCCTCCACTTATGGCAGGGGATGATTTTAAGTCTTTTCAGGACTTATATAAGAGGGTGGCAGATTTCCTAGACATTTCCCTCATGGAAGTACCTGAGGTGCAACACAAGGTGACTGATGTATTTCAGACATCAGCTTCCTCCAAAATAGCTCTGCTAGTCAACGAGGCTATATTGGATCCCACAAAGATTCTTTGGCAAACTCCAGCCTCTATGTCCCTAATCTCAAAGAGGGTGGACAGATAATATTATGTCTCTGCCAAAGGTGCAGAATTTTTATTCACCCACCCACCTCCCAACTCACTTGTGGCAGAAGCAGCCCAAACCAGTGGTAAGCAAATTCAATTTAAGTCCACAGCCTTCAATAAGGATTGAAAGAGGTTAGACATCCCGGATCAAAAATCATATTTGTCCATCTCTCCTCAGATAACAATAACTAACTACTCAGCATTGCTTGCAAAATACACTTATTACCACTTTGAAAAGATGAAAACCTTTATTGAGCATTAGCTACAGGAATACAAAACTTAAACTTTAATGAAGGGGTCCTCATAGCCAAGATTACGCTGCAAGCTTCATTGGACATGGTGGATACCGCTTCAAGATCTCTTGTGATGTCTGTCATCATGCACAGGAGCCTCATGGCTGCACCTTTCTGCGTTTCCTAGAGAGGTGCAAGATATGGTAGAGGACCTTCCCTCTGAGGTCAGAAGTTTTCTTCCACTATAGGTGTGCCCCTACATACGCTCAAGTATTTGTGAGCCATACTCAATTCCTTGAACACGTATGTCTCTCAACTCAAGAAGAAATTAAACCACCGTTATACCCCATGAGACAGATCATCATCTTACTCAGTGCAGAGGAGCTATGATTTCAGACACCATCAGAAACAACAAAAATGCAGGCAGCTGCAAGAGCAACATGCTATGTCCCAGTCCTTCTGTGGCAGGCAGATGTTTTGAGGATCTGATCAAAGGCTGAACATTGTTTCCAGTGACCATCATGTTCTCTGTGACAGATTTCCATGAAAGCTGCTTTCCTGCTCACACAACAGCCAGAAAGGTCAAAGTGTTGGCTGCACTCATGGCCAAACTGCCATTCACTGTTTTCCACAAAGACAAAGTGGAAAAACTTCACTTTTGAAACCTGAATATTCCCTTTAACCTCTGTGTGTGTGTGTGGGGGGGGGGGGGGGGGGGGGGGCGCATGTGTGCGCATATGGACATACATATTCATGAGTGTGTGTTTCTGATGGATCTCAGTTTTTGATGAGGATCTGCTAAGGAGCAGGAATCATATTTTTCCTGCTCAGACTGCACTACAAAGTAAGCTATGTCAGTTGTTGTATATCTCTCCCTCCTTCACAAGGGCTATGTCTAAACTACACCCCTCTGCTGACAGAGGGATATAGATTAGGCACTTCGAAAGTGCAAATGATCCTGGGATTTAAATATACCGGGTTTCATTTGCATACTCACGTTCCGGTACTGTGACGATCAAGCGCCATTTCAAAAATGAAGCTGCAGTTTAGCCACAGTTCTGCCAATAGCAGGGAGCTTTTTCAACAGATCTTGTACTCCTTATAGGCACAGAGCCGGAATGTAAGTATGCAAATGAAGGCCAGGATATTTAAATCCTGGGCTCATTTGCACTTTTGAAGTACCTAATCTACATGCCTCTGTCGGCGGAGGGGTGTAGTTTAGACACAGCCAAAGAGTGCATCCTCTGACACGTCTCCTATCCCAGCCATCTATGCTCCATTTCCTCCTCTCATCATTATCATGTCCGGGGGAGGAGGGATCCCTACATAGCTCAGGTCTGAGCCACAATAGAAGGTGTGAATCTCCTGTATGGTTGCCACAAAACATAACTTTGCATCTCGCCCAATTTGCTCTGTGCATCATGCCAAAAACAGGCTGGATTAGACTTTTTGCAACTTGTGGTTTCTAAGTTAACTAAAAGCATAATTTAAGTTATAATAGAGGTTTCATTACAGTACTATCATGTGTTATGCTCTTGCTGTGGTGCAGGAAGAAGAACTGCTCAAAATGAGAAACCATTATGAAATATCTGATTTTCCCCACAGTTGGATATAACACGATTCTTTATGATTCAGTGCAGTACAGTTATGATGCTAACTAAATTCTGGGAATAACTAATAAAAACATGAGCATTCCATAGATTATTAGCTGGTCTGTTTTTCAATGAACTTTTACATTTAACATCATTTGAATCATGAGATCTAACTGACATATCTTTTGTTGAAGAGATTACAAGGAAATGCCCACCTCCACCTCAGATCCCAGGTGCCGTCAAGACAACAGAGATACGAAACTATGAGAATGGTGAAAAAATAGCCTTTACTTGCCAAAAATATTTTGAACTTCAAGGAGTGAAAGAAGTAATGTGTGAAAATGGGAAGTGGCAGTCACCACCACGCTGTACTGGTCAGTAGGGGTTTTTATTTATATTTCTTTAATTAGATCAGTCAGAGGAAATACACACAAAAATCAGCAACTGCAGAACTGTGATATCACGGTTAGACCCTTACCCACTGTGGAAGCTGATGAGAAAATATTTTGTGATTTCGTGATCTGTGATGCATTTGTCATGGCTGTGAATCTGTTAGGGTATGTCTACATTACCACCCTAGTTTGAACTAGGGTGGTTAATATAGGCATCCGAAGTTGCAAATGAAGCCCAGGATTTAAATATCCCGGGCTTCATTTGCATATTGCCGGGCGCCGCCATTTTTAAATGCCCGTTAGTGCGGACTCCGTGCCCGCGGCTACACGCGGCATGGAGTAGGTAGTTCGCATTAGGCTCTCTATTCCGAACTACTGGTACACCTCATTCCACGAGGAGTAACGGTAGTTCGGAATAGAGAGCCTAATCCAAACTACCTATTCTGTGCCGCGTGTAGCCGCGGGCACGGAGTCCGCACTAACGGGCATTTAAAAATGGCGGCGCCCGGCAATATGCAAATGAAGCCCGGGATATTTAAATCCTGGGCTTCATTTGCAACTTCGGATGCCTATATTAACCACCCTAGTTCAAACTAGGGTGGTAATGTAGACATACCCTAACAGATTCACAGCCATGACAAATGCATCACAGATCACGAAATCTGCTCTCCTCTCCACCATAAAATATGGCCTTCTATGTATCTTCATCATATACAATACAGGTTTCAAGGGTAGATCTTCATTTCCCATAAATAATTAGCTGGAGGATTGCAAAGTATTTTAAGAGGATCATGCTATCGCCACCCTTACTTCTGCATTGCCTTCAGAGCTGGGCCCAGATTTGAAGGCAGCACTCACCAGCAGCAGCACAAAACTCGGTCACAATATCATACTATGCCAACCCTACTTATGCATTGCTGCTTTCTTCAGAGATGGCTAACAGGCAGGTGGCAGCTGCTGACCAGGAGCCCAACTCTTCAAGCAGCAGCACCACCATAAGATGCCATCTTTACTTCTGCACTGCTGTCAGCGATGGCTCTGTCTGCAGAGCTGAGTTCCCAGCCAGGAGCCATCACTCTCCAGCCTCCCATCTCTGAAGGCACCGCTGATACCAGACACTGCTCAGAACTGAGGATAGAAGCATCACAACCCCTCTTACAATAACCTTGCAAACGCTCCAAACTCCTTTTCACTTCAGGGCCTCTGCAAATAAAACACCATCATGAAATTTATTTTTTTAAAGTCATATAACCATCAAATTGACCAAAACGAGCCATGAATTTGGTATGGCGCTAGTCATCACCTATTGTTTAGTGAAGAAAAGCAAAATTACATAAGAAATAAAGTGTTGAAAAGTAATATCAACAAAACTGGACTATTAAGATAAAATACATGACTTATTTTATTCAGTATGTTAATAATGGATTTAAAATGAGCTAAGGTCTGAAAAATAAATATAGAAATGTCAAAAAGTCCAACATGAAATCAGTGCCTAATCATTTTTCTCCACCACTAATAATTCTATGGAAGAAGATTTTCTAAATCACAAATGCGACGAGGAGTCCTGTGGCACCTTATAGACTAAGGGTATGTCTACACTATAGCATTAATTTGAGTTAACTTAATTCAAAATAGTTAATTTGAATTAAGCTAATTAAAAATAACGCATCTATACACAAAACCTATTTCAAAATAGCAGTTTGCTATTTTGAAATAACTCATCCACACTGAGCAGACCCTGAACCAAAGTTAAGGCTGGCCGGAACTAGTGATGGCAGGGCATCAGGTTACTAAGTAGTTAGTGTAGGTCCCATAGGCTATATCTAGACTACAGGTTTTTTTTGAAAAAAGTGGCCTTTTAAAAAAAACAAAACAAAAAACAAACAAAAAAAACCCTTCACCTATATCTAGACTGCTGCTGCGTTCTTTCAAAATTAAATCAAAAGCACACAGTGGTTTTTTCGACAGTGGTAAAAGCCTGTTTGCTTTCAAGAATGCCTTATTTCAAAAGAGCGCTTTCGAAAGAAGGCATTCTTCCTCGTGGAATTAGGTTTACCACCGTCGAAAGAAAAGCCGCATTCTTTCGATTTAATTTCGAAAGAACGCGGCTGCAGTCTAGACGCAGGTGAAGTTTTTTCGAAAAAAGGCTACTTTTTTTGAAAAAACCCCTGAGTCTGGACACAGCCTTAGTGTGTGGGCGGCTAACTGAGTTCCATGCTTAAAAGGACCCTACTCCCACCCCAGACAGACACTTCTCAGGGTTCCTCACTTGCTTGTCTACCTCAATGAGGAACAGCAAAACAGTCCTGTCATGGAGTGCCCTGAGTGCCCGCACTTGGGACACCACAGCACTCAGCCACATGGAGCCAGAGCTGTCCCTGGGCATGCTGGTGCATCTCGTGGGGTCACTGCCATCACCCCTGCTGCACTTGCTGCAAGCTACCATCTGGATGTCAGGATCCAGGAGGCCCTGAGGGAGAGCGTCCACCCCAAGGAGCCCTCAGAGTCTCCCCGGTCCTCCCCACCAGGGGTTCGTGCCCCATTCCTCCCTCACGTCCATCCACTTACCCCTCCCTAGCCCCCCTTCCTGATGTCAAATAAAATACACGTATGTTCAAAAATAGAAACTGGGTTTATTGAACAAAACTGGGGGGTGGGAGGGCGAACCTCTGGGGAGACTGGGAAAAGGAGGTGGGAGAGAGGAAGGGAGAGGGGAGGAGGAAACCTGGGAGGAAGCTGGAAGGGAGAAGCTATGGGAAGGAGGGGGAGGGGAAGTTAAGGGCCCAAGGTTGGGGGTTTTGCCAGACCAACTTGCTTTTCATGCAGACCTGCTCCTGGGTTCGCATGTGGCCTCTGGTGGCCAGGCCGGCAGCTATCCTGCCATAGATGGCCGCATTCCTCCATCTAGAGCAGAGATCATGGACATTGGGGGCATCCCCCCCAAACCTGAATAAGGTCCATGATCTCTACCCTGGACCAGGAAGGTGCCTGCCTTCTCCAGACCCTGTCAGGCTCCTGGGAACTGGCAGACTGCTCCTGAGGAGTGGCGGAGGGCTGGCTACCAGTTGCTTGATGGCTCATATTTTGGGGCCACTGGGTCAGGGGCCCTGATGGCCACTACTGGCTCCAGGCTGGCAGACTTGGAGCTGGCACAGGCACTGTGGCCAGAGTCTAATCCTTTAATGGCTCCGGGGCTGGGGGAGAGGAGAATAAGTTTTCCTGGTTGTGCCCAGAGGGGCTACCAGGGCTCCCTGGGAAGGGCTGGAGGCCCCCTATTTTGAAATAAGTGTCTATACAGCACTTAATTGGAAATAGCTATTTCGAATCTGGAGTTACTCCTCGTAGAATGAGGTTAATTTTAATTAAGCGCTCAGCGATTTCGAATTAATTTCAGAATAGCAGTTTGCATGTATAGACGCTATTAAAGTTAATTCGAAATAACAGCTGTTATTTCAATTAACTTTGTAGTATATACATACCCTAACAGATTTATTGGATCATAAGCTTTCGTGTGCAAAGACCCACTTCGTCCGATGTACATCTGATGAAGTGGGTCTTTGCCTATGGAAGCTTATGCTCCAATAAATCTGTTAGTCTACTAGGTGCCAGAGGACTCCCCATTGCTTTTGCAGATTCAGACTAACATGTCTACCCATTTGATACTAAATCACAAATTGGACTCTCAATATGTAGGCAAGAAAATTATGTTCTGTGAAAAGCATATACATATGATTCCTATATATATATATATGTTGCTACCTTTTCCCATTTGTGCTAGGCCATCCCTTGTACTCCAGGAATAGATAGGATCCCAGCATAACTTTGTGGGAGAAAACTGAATTTCCTCCTTCCTAATCCTGATTCCTAACCAAACAAAATGTTGAATGGATTTAAGTGTGTCTCTCTTGTTTAAATCCAATATAACTATCTCAGGGTATGTCTACACT